CATTTTTATTTTATGTGTATGCGTGTATTGCCTATATGTAAATGCACCCATGTCATGCAAAGCCCGTGGAGGACCAAAGAAGCTGTCGGATCCCCTGGAACTGTAGTTACACTGGAGTTACGGACAGTTGTTAGCTGCCATGTGGGTGCTGGGATATGAACCCGGGTCTTCTGCAAGAACAACCAGTGTTCTTAACCGCTGAGCCATCTCTCCAGCCCCTTATTTATTATTTTTATTTTGTGAGTGTGAGTGCATATATATAAGTTGCACCCGTGTTGTGCAGTGCCAGGAGAGGTCAGAAGAGGGCGCTGAATTCCCCTGGAACCATGTGGGTGCTGGGAATCGAACCCAGTTCCTCTACAAGAACAGCCAGTGCTCTTGACCGCTGAGCCATCTCTCCAGGCCCCTAGACCAAGGCTTTTTAAGAAAAAGATTTTTTTAGTTATGTTTGTGTATATGTGTTTGTATGCCGTATGTGTGGGAGTGCCTGTGAAGGCCAGAAGGTGTCAAATCCTCTGGTGCTGGAATTACAGGTGATTGTGAGGCACCTGACATGGGTTCTGGGGAACTAAACTGTGATCCATCAAAGTGATCTTAACTGCTGAGCCAGAGATTAAGAGCACTGGCTGCTTTTGCAGAGGACCTGGGTTCAATTTCCAGCACCCCATGTGGGGGCTAACAACTGTCTGTAATTCCAGTTCCAGGGAATCTGACACCCTCTTCTGACCTCCTTGAGCACTGCACAACGTGGGTGCACCTATCTACATGCAGGCAATATACTCATACACAGGAAAAAAATAAAATAAAATAATACAATATTTTAATTACTGAACCATCTCTCCAGCCCCAGGTCAAATATTTTTATTTTTTTAGTGAAATTACTTTAGACATACACAAAGCACAAAAAGCAATTAAACACAGGTTGGTGCTCCTTATCATTCAGCATAAAACACAGCACATCAAAAGTACAGACAAGGAGGCAAGAAGGCAATGACCTTGAACATTTCCTTATTTACCTGCTGCATACTTTCCCCCTCTTATCTCTTATGCAATTTCACAATCTTAGTGGAAATAGTACACTTATACTCCATTGAGTAAATCTAAAGTGAAAAGCCATCCATGTGCTCAAAAGCAAATTAGACAATTTCCATTGAAATTCTAAGGCATGGTGGCACAGGCCTTTAATCTCAGCATTCAGGAGGCAAAGGCTATGAGTTCAAGACCAGACTGGTCTACAAAAAAAAAAGGCAATTTGGAGCTGGCAGCTTTACGTCATAACTTACCTTTTTCCAGTCTAGGAAAATGGAATGCATTTTTTCTTAAAAAAAAAAAAAATCCGTATTAGTCGGGTGTGGTGGCGCACGCCTGTAGTCCCAGCACTTGGGAGGCAGAGGCAGGCAGATCTTTGTGAGTTCAAGGGCAGCCTGGTCTCCATAGTGAGTTCCAGGACAGCTGGGGCTACAGGGAGACCCTGCTTCAAAAAGACAAAAAAAACCCACCAGGATTCTGTCCTTCTTCTATCAACTATATTCTACTATTTCAAGAACAAATTTACAAGTATTTAGCTCATGACTGTAGTATCAGCAAATGGGAGTTGAAGGCAGAAAGATACTTATTCATAAAATAAAAATTATAAAAATTTTTAATCAAAATAAACTTTAATAAAAATCACAATAACACCTTTACACAAAGATCCTTTGTGCCTATTATTCTCGAGCCAGGTGGCATAATCCTAACACTTCAGAGATTGAGGAAGAGGATTAGGAGTTCAGATCATCCTCAGCTACAGAGTAAGTTAGAGGCCAGCTCTACTCAACTAACACAAACAAGGAACACATTTAATACTTCCTCCTGGAATTTGGAGATCCTCTGACACCAAAAGAGCAATCCCAGCTTTCCAATCTTACTACAAAAAGCTACTCCTACACAAAATGAGATTTGACTCATTACTACTAAAGAATAAGAATGAAGCCCAATGTAAAACATGCAAATATAAAAAAAAAAAAAAAAAAAAATAGGCTCTCCCTGCCATGCCCTGCTCTTCAGAGGTAACCGTACACCCCCCACCTGAGCAAGCAGGCCCGGCCGGAGGAGCCCACTGCCTAACTGTGCTTTGTGCAGCTCTCAGGGCACGCCACGGTGCCCACCCAGGGGTCCACACACACTGCCGGCTAAGAGCTGTACAGTGCCTATGATTATGAAGTACCACCTATGGAGAAAGCTGTTGTGAAAACATTCAGATAGCTGTTCCTTCTGGGTGCTATGGAAGAGTAGCTCCACATTCTGGCTTGGCTGTAAAACACTTCATAGATGTAGGAGCTGGTGTCATAGATGAAGATTATAGAGGAAATGTTGGTGTTGTGCTGTTTAATTTGGAGAAGGAGAAGTTTGAAGTAAAAAAAGGTGATCAAATTGCACAGCTCATTTGTAAACGGATTTTCAATGCAGAATTAGAAGTTCAGGCTTTGGCTGACACTGAAAGGGGTTCAGGAGGTTTTGGTTCTACTGGTAAGAATTGAAATTTTGGCCAAGAATAAAAAATGAAAGAAACCTGTTTCTTCTGAAAAAATGAAGAGATTTACTTGAAGTTAAAAAAATAAATAGATAACGTCTGGTTGAGATGGGGCCTTGATTTGTAGCCCAGGCTTGCCTTGAACACAGTCATCCTGTTTTGACCTCCCAAGTGCTGCTACAGGCATGTGGCACAACATTCAGCTAAAAAATTGCTTTAACATAGTAAGCATATAAATCATTCTTCAAATAATCTGTTAATATCACTTTCTTTTTTTAATATTTTATTTATTATATTCATTTTTGTGTGTATGCGTGTATTGCCTGCATGTAGGTAACTGCACCCGTGTCATGCAATGCCCAAGGAGGTCAGAAGAGGCTGCCAGATCCTTTGGGACTAGAGTTACGGATAGTTGTTAGCTGCTGTGTGGGTGCTGTGATTCAAACCCGGGTCTTCTGCAAGAACCACCAGTGTTCTTAACCGCTGAGCCATCTCTCCAGGCCCGTAACATCTAACTTTCAATGCTGTCAGCATGAGTGTTGACAGTTCACATGTATGAATATGACCCTTAAGAAAACACATTCAGCCGAGTGTGGTGGTACATGCCTATAATCCTAGCACTTGGGATGTGGAGGCAGAATAAGGAGCTCCAGGGTATCTTCAGGTACATAGTGAGTTCGAGGCCAGGCTGGGTTATGGGATCTTGTCTCAGAAAAAAGAGGAGGAGTCATTTTCTTCCATGTGTGGCCAGTGGTTAGTTGCTATCCTCCAGTAAATAACTTATTACCCATGTTCATGCAGGCAACCTAATTAAACTCAGTGGATCACAATACTTGTACAGGTACATGTATGGAAACGGTGATAGATAAACTGTAACAGATTTACCTAGAGTTTTAAAGTTTCAAAACTTAATAAATCTTCTCAAATTATGACATTTCAATCAGACAGTATGACTTACCTGGTCATGTTAAAAAAAAGAAACACTGTGCACTGTACTGAATGACAAGATATTTATCTCACTTTGTGTATCTATGTATGAACACACATAGGCTGACTGAGCTGTCTCTCCATCTTTCTACCTCACTTCATCTCAGTCCTGGGGATTAACTCCAGGGCCTTATACATCCTAGGTAAGCACTATACCACCAAACCACATTCATCCTCATATTCTCTTTCGATTCTCTGACAGGATCTCATATAGCCCAAACTGGCCTTCAACTCCTGATTCTCCTGCAACCACATCCCAAATACTGAGATTACCGTTGTGTGCCACCACATCCGTCCAGTTCTGATAAACTATTTTAACTGAATAAAGAAAAACAAAAACTACCTGTTAAGAAAAATTACTTATCCCAGGCTATTAATGCATCATCAAAGCATGTATTAAAATACTAGCCATAACCAGACTTAAATGGAACTAAAGAAATGTCTTCTAAAATGTAAGACAAGAGACATTATTCTAATCTAAATGACATAATAGCTGAACACCAGTGCCTTCAGTCACTAAAGGACTTAGATTTATCTTCATCTTCAGGAAATAGAGAAAGCTGGGGTATAGCATAGTGGTACTGTGTGCTTAGTGCATTCGAGGCCCTGGGTTTACCCCCAGCACCAAAATGGGGGATAGGGAAAAAGAGGGCAAACATTGAGAAAAAAAAAGCCAAAAAGGAAAGAGAGACAAACTAAGGGAGGGAAAGTGGGAGGGGGGAAGCGACAGAGAGGAAGAGAGACAGAGATGGAGGGCAATGAGGGAGCAAGGCTCTTCTGTGATGATAACACTGTTATACTTCTTATTGCCTAAGAAGCTGTCAGAAACAAAAGCTTACCAACTACACTATCCTTTTACATAAAATGAAAATGAGGGGATTGAAGAAACGGCTCAGCTATTAAAAGCACTGACTGCTCTCAGAAGACCTGGGATCAGTTCCCAGCACCCACATGGCGGCTTACAACTGTCTGTAACTCCAGTTCCAGGGGATCTAACGCCCTCTCTGACTCTGCAGGCGTTACACAACACAGCTACACTTACACACATGCAGGCAATACACATGCACACAAATAAAATAAAATTAATAAAATTTTAGGGGCTGGAGAGATGGCTCAGCGGTTAAGAACACTGTTCTTGCAGAAGACCCAGGTTCAAATCCCAGCACCCACATGGCAGCTAACAACTATCCGTAACTCCAGTTCCAGGGTATCCAATGGCCTCTTCCGTCCTCTGTGGGCATTGCTAGACCCAGGTGCACTTACCTACATGCAGGCAATACACACATACACATAAAAATAATAAATAATTTTTAAAAAGCCTTTAATCCCTTTAATGACTTGCACCATACATTCCCAATGATATTAAGCTTGTTGACATTGTGTATTCTTCTTGAGATATTGTTCCGTTGTTGCGATTCTCAGATCTAA